TAAATCCTGAACCTTAAAACCCTAAAACCCTAAACCCCAGACCCTGAGCCCCGTTTAGGGTTTAGGGTTTGGGGTTTAGGGTTTTCGGTTTAGGGGTTTAGGGCTTAGGGCTTTAGGGTTTTAGGGTTTAGGGTTTCAGGAATGCGGCGAGCGTGGGTTGCTCTGAAGGGGCCTTTACCGGGAGGGAGCACTGGAAATGCATTGCCTGATGGCGAGGTCCGAACTAAAAGGATGGGCTTAGGGTTTAGGGTTCAGGGTTTAGGGTTTAGTGATCTTAGGCATCTACCTTCTGGCTTTTTCGGGGTCTGCATCGCTGCATACTTAGCATCAGCGAGAAAAGGAAAACGGCATACTACGGGACAGCGCAGCTGCCAGAACATCATGGCACAGGAGAAGTTGCCCGTAGAGTTCCACTCAGACAAGTTGGTACCATTGGAGGCGTTCTCAGTTTCGTTGGACTCGTTTCCAGCGTGGCTGACCCAGACGCAAGCACCATCGTCCAGTCGTCGGTACTCCCAGCGGATACGGATCACCCCAGGATCCGCAGGGGCCACGGGCTCAGGTGGTAGTGTCTCTATCCATGTCTCGTTGCCCTCCTGGCGCACGATGGTGTCCACCCGACCACTTCGGCGGATGCTGTCCACACAGTAGGCCGCAGTTTCGGAGGGGTAGACCTGCACCGCCATCTCCGCCTCTTCGGATGGTAGGAACTCAAGCTCTGAGAGCATGACAGGAACGATTTGGGGCAGCGGCTCCTCCACATTGAGGACCTTAGCCGGCCGACCAGGAATCTTTTCAGAACGAAAGCCCTCAGCCTTAAAGGAAACAACTAACTTGCAAAAGGCCAAACGGCAGTTAGCACTGCCGTCGCTTCGTCCTGCTCGCCGTGCCAGTTGGTGATCGTACTCACGACTTCCAGCACCATTTCCGACCAGTTGGACTCGTTGGCCTGCACTGATTGTAGGGTTTAGGGTTTAGGGTTTAGGGTTTTAAATTTCTCCACACATCGATTCCCGGTAAGACTGTTGCTTGATATATTTTCCATACGCAGCATGTCCTCTAGCAGGTTCATGTCTGCTCACCCCGATCATCAACTCGGGCTACCGTTCAGACCTTCAGATACCACCTAGAACTACTCTTCTACCCCCGGAACCCGTCTGAAGACGGAAAAATCTCCTTGGGCATCCGTGGACGACTCAGACACAATCTCGACGCCTTGATTCCTCAACTTTTCTGACACTCTGAGTACGCCTTTCCCACCCTTGTCCACACCAAGTGGCGCCGGCGCGCACTTGCTAAGACCATAAGGAACCTTCGACCTCCACCAGTCGTATGTGGGCGGTAAGTACGGTTCAAGTTCGACGGACTTAGTAACCTGGTATCTGGGTCATAAGTTTTAAGTGAACAATAAGCCTTATAGCTAAAAATATCCCCACTTGGGGATCTGGGTCATAAGTTTGAGGTGAACAAGAAGTAAATCAACCTTGTATCCAAAATCAGCCCACTTGGGAATACCTCACCGCCACCCTTTCTGGTTCTTTAAACTCCCCTAAACCCTAAACCCCTAAAACCCTAAAGCCCTAGAGCCCTGTAAAGCCCTATAAAAGCCCTAAAGCCCTAAATCTTACCTAAACCCTAAACCCTAAACCCTAAACCCTAAACCCTAAACCCTAAATCCTAAACCCTAAACCCTAAACCCTAAACCCTAAACCCTAAACCCTAAACCCTAAACCCTACCTAAATCCTAAACCGTTTCTTTTTCAGGCTGGCCTGCACCTCCGACACGGCCGCGAAGAGGGTCTCAGGAGGTATCTCCAAGACCTGGCAGGGGTTTAGGGCTTAGGATCTAGGGTTTAGGGCTTAGGGTTTAGGGTTTAGGGTTTAGGGTTTAGGATTTAGGGTTTAGGGCATTATTGTATAGGGTTTGGGGTTTAGGGTTTGTTGTGTAGGGTTTAGGGTTTGGTGTTTAGGGTTAGGGTTGGGGGAGGGCATGGGGAATACAAAAACCAATGCACCATCCGAGTAACATTAAAACTTCGAACCCTTCATAAACGAAAAGAATCCCTCATCCGTAGACCCCCTATGACCCTAAACCTCTAACCCCAAACCCTCTGACGGCAAACCCTCTAACCCTGAAACCCTGGACCCCTAAAGCCCTAGAGCCTAAACCCTAAACGCCTAAAGCCATAAAGCCCTAAACCCAAACTTGGGGTGCACCGCCCTAAACCCTAAACCCTAAACCCTAAAACCCCAAACTTGGGCTGCCCGGGCTCTCAGGGACCTGCTCGGCGTAGTCGCTGGCCTCGGCCAGCGCCGGCTGAAGCAGCGATCCGAGGTCCTCCGGGCTCTTTGTTAAGGAGTTTAATGTAAGTGATTATAGTAGGGTCGGGGGGTTTAGGGTTTGGGGTCTTAGTTTAAGTTATCATGTTTGGGTTTTAGGGTTTTGGGTTTAGGCTTAGGGAACTTGATTTAAGTTGGCATAATGGGGTTCGGGCTTGGGGTTCAAGAATTTACGTTTCCATACTAGGGATCTATCGTAAATAATATGCTGTCCTTATCTCTAAACCCTAAACCCTTAACAAGAACCCAATCCTTCCACAGGGAAATGGGGCTTTTGGTGTTTGGGCTTTGGGTGTGGGGTGGGGCTTGGGGTCTAGGATGCAAAGCAGGGCCTACGGTTTGGGTTTAGGGCTACTGGTTTAGGACTTACAGTTCAAGTTTAGGGTTTAGGGTTTTAGGGTTCAGGGTTTAGGGCTACTGGTTTAGGACTTAC